AGAGGGGAGGAGTTTGTGTGGGAGTGTCTGGGTGTATTGTACGGATTGATTGGTTGTTTTGTAACCTCCTGTGGGCTGTACTATGTTGATTGGATTGGATTGGAAATAAAAGAGACTGTATGTGACAGTACAAGGAGTTCCTGTTTTAACCCTCAAAGTGAAGTGTCGTCTCATTATTGGGGGAAGGATTTATTGTATGCTGTTCCAGTTTGACTGCTAGGAGAGTAAACCTATTCGTATGGTTCCTATTCAACTGTCTACAGCATTCATATGCTTGGGAGAATTTATTTGTTTCTCCGGTTCGGTGATTGTGGTGTCTGCCAGAGTGCTTGGAGTCCTCAGGAAGCGCTAGGAGCATCCTTTAACGGAGGTACCCAGTGGGGTGCCAGGCGATCCGTTACATTGGTGGCAAGCGGTGGGATGGCGTCCTAGTGCGAGGTAAAGCAGCTCAGAGACACAGTTCGTGGATTTACAAATTGAAGGCGACGCTAGTGTTCATACAGCATCCCTGTCTACATAAAGATTTGGGAAAATGGGGTTCGTGGACCCCTGGGCAACACACACACTGAGGAAGAGAGTGAATTAGACTGGAGAGATATCGCTCGGAAAGAATTATGGTACGATGCCCTGGAGGAAGTCCAGTATCAATGGCAGCAGCGCCTTCCTGGTGTCGCATACCAGTTGGAGGAACAAATGGCCTGGCGGATGCCGCTTCTGGGAGACCAACCCGGAGGGCAGCAGGTCAGACAACTTGAGTACCTCGTGGAACGGGAACTGAGCCTTGACGCCTCATACCGGGCACTGTGGTGGTGCACTGTCCAGCCAGAGACGTGGAGGGCAGAGGGCATCCAGCCGGAGGGGGAGAACTACACTAGCCCTGGCCTGTTGTGGAAGGCCTTAACAGAAGATGTCGACTTTGGCAGTCCAGCAGAGTCACGGTACTGGGTTATCTTTCATTACCGAAGTGAGATGTTACAGGGCCCGAGATCTATTGGACTGGGAGAAGACATCCGCCGTTTCGCTGCCATGGAACGAGAGCTAGAGATGGACTATGTGGAACTACTGAACTCATGTCAGCCGCAGAGCATAGACACAGAACAGGAAAACTGGGTGGCGGACCCAGACCTGCCAACCTACAGCTGGGAAAATGCAGCTGAGGTCCCCACTACTTCACTACCAGTTGCATAAGTAGGGGACCTCATAGACTGGTCCTGGGAAGACCCACCAATGGCAGGTAGAGATGGGATGGCTGTCTCTCTACCGGCCCTACAGAGATGCTGAGCAGTCGGCCCAGATCCCCAGCGACAGTATGTATCCCAGGGAGCTGAAGGTGTCGTCCTTCCTCCCCAGTGGCAGTGTGTACCCCAGGGAGCAGAAGGTGCTGTCCTTCCTCCCCAGCGGCAGTGTGTATCCCAGGGAGCTGAAGGTGTCGTCCTTCCTCCCCAGCGGCAGTGTGTACCCCAGGGAGCAGAAGGTGCCGTCCTCCCTCCCCAGCAGCAGTGTGTACCTCAGGAAGCAGAGACCGTCTGTCTTGCACCCCAGCCGCAGGACAAAATATTGAAAGGGGAGACAGTTGGTCCCCCTCTCCACCAGCAAAGAGAGTGTCAGGGAGAGGAGCAGGTTACCCCCTCTCCCCAGCGGCAGTCTACAGTTCAGAGAGAGGAGCTTGTTACACCCTCTCTCCAGCGGCAGCCTAACCCACCAAGGGGAGATGTTAAGCCCCACAACTATGCAGATGGGACCGTAGTCTCTGCACTTGCAGCACCAGGGTAGGGACGGTCGGTCCTGTCCCCCAGCCACAGAGCAGTGTATCCAGAGGGGAGACAGTCGGTCTCCCCCTCCCACAACCAGGCTCCAACCAGGCTACTTCAGTGGTAGCGCTGGCACCCGGGCAGAGTACCGCTGGTCTCTGCCCACTCAGCAACCCACCAAGGCAGTCTACCAGCCCCCCGCACAGCCGTGGTGAGGCACCTGGACATGGACAAGTTGCTATTTTATCCAGGTGTAGTAACCAGTTATTGTGGGTGGGCTGTATTGCTGTTTGTGCTTCGTGGGTGGGTTGCTGGACTAACCAGGGCACTGACCGGCAGGAGGTCAGATACCCTGTTAGTCTGGATGGTAAAGGGGAGAAATGTGGCGAAACCGGCCTCGCCACGTGTCCTTGGAGGGGGCTGCTTGCCCGCCTCTTGCCTTTGGACTATGGACCAGACTTTATGTGAATGTGTTAACCCAGATAGCTATGCCATGGAGCCCATTCGTGTAGTTAAAGACTTTGGCTCCATGGCAATTGAACTGTGTGAATAGGATCTGAGCGCTATTCGGTAGTTTTGTGCGCTCAGATCCCAGCTATCTGGGGATATGTGACATGTCTGTGTTTTATATATAAAATGTGACTTTGTGTATTTTATAATATTTTAATGCTTTGTGCTCACCATGTGCATAATGGAGTCTTGTGTCTGTCCTGGGAGATAATTGAATTACTTCTCAATTCAATCTCCAGGATAGAAGACTCTGAAACTGGTTTGGGCCGGAAAGCCATGCTTCATTTAGTCCCAAAGGACTTTCCCTTAACTTTTGAACCCCTGGTCTGATTCGTGCCATTTTTTAATATGTTGTTCCCCTGAATGAATTGATTATGAAAATGTATGTTTTGTGTTTGTGACATGTATATTTTATTTTATTTTTAATTCTTTATTTTTGTAGTGCAAGTGAATACAAAGAAGCGTGCAGTACCATGACCATTTCTGCAGTCCAATCAATCGTTTACAAATATTGACATTGGTATGGCATACTGTATGGTAACTTTGCATAGTTTTTTTTTTTTTTGGTAAATAAGATTCCTAAGGTACATATGAGGACGAGTTGAGTCAAGCCTGTCTAGCTACTAAGCATCTGTACATTCCACCCCTTCTGATCCTAGCTGGTTAGGGGTGTGTCAGTGTAGATGGTGAGGGCATGTAATAAGGGGCATGTCATTATATGTCCATCTATTGTGGAACAGGGTGATGATTCGTTGGTGCTCTTAAATAAGGGCTTGTGTGCTAGCTTGGGGGGGTCAAAGAAGTGTGATTCCTAAACCCTGCTGCTGTGATGGTGTGCGGCCTGTGTCTATTAAGCGGCGCTGTGTTTCTTGAGGGTTTGGAGCGTGCTTGGGAGTATAATCAGGCTGGTAAAACCAGTTCTGGCTGATATTAAAGGCATCCCTGCTAGCATCCCCCAGGGGTTTTGTGTGCCTTCACGTGTGGGGTGTTGCTGTGCCTTTTATGTTGAGAGGCCCTCGTACCCAAGTACATCGGTTTCAGGGTCCCTGGCAGTGTGCGGGGGGGTGGCACTAGTACCCTAGTTTAGAGTAGCAGACTAGCAGCTAGACTGTTGTGGATGTCAAGAGTAGGAACTCATCCTATGCGTAAACGCTTGTGCATGATGTCTCAGGCTTTTATAGTGTTCCCCCGTTCCCTGGGGTGGGGGGGAGAGGGAGGTAGAGCGTGTCCTTTGATGTCGAGTAAGTGATAGTGTCAGGAGCATTATATGAAATCTGGGATTTAACCTTCAGTAATAAGAGAAAAAAAAAAAAAAAGTAAATTAAACAAGGCTGCGTGTGAAGCCGTCTAGAGAGCAATACTAAACATAAAGGTAAAACGTGAAACAATATTAACGTTAAACTTGTGGAGGTATGTGTATGCAAGCACATTCAGGTTACGGAGTCCCGTTCCCCTCCAGGAATGAAAGGAGTGATTCGGTCTACATCCCATATTCGTCGTGACGTTGTTGCTGGGTCTGGCGCCGGGAGGCCTAGTGCTTGCAGAAGTTTCAGCCCCTCCGAGGGGTTTGCAGCTTTGTGGGTCTTCCCGTCTTTGGTGCACACCAGCGATCTTGGGTTAGTCCATCTGTAGGGTATGCCGGCTGTCAGTAAGGGTTGCGTGATGGGGCGCATTGATTTGCGCCACATTAGGGTGACCTTGCTAAGATCTTGGTAAAATGTAAGGGAGTAAGTTTCGAAAAGAAATGGTGTTTTCCCCCGCAGCGCCTGTAGCAGCCTTTGTTTGTCTGCATGGGACCGACAGCAGAGTATGATGTCCCTGGGGACGTTGTTCGGTGTTTGTGAGAAAGTTGGAATGCGGTATAGTCCATCATAGTCAAACTGTTTTGCGTGTTTGGCTGGAAGGAGAGATGCAATAAGTCGCCTGACGAGATGTGGTAATTCGTCCGCTGGGACGGAGTCGTCCACACCCCGGATTTTGACATTCTTTTGTCGGCTCCTATCTTCTAGGGTATCCATTCTGGCAACTAGTAGGGAGTGGGTCTCTTGCAGGTTCTGTATTGATTCCCCTTGAGTCGTCATGCTTTGCCTCAGGTCAGCAGTGTCCTCCTCAGATGCTTGGAGGCGTTCTGTGACTGCTTTCAATTCAGTTTTGACCATGTTGATTTCTGCAAAGAACATGTCCTGGAAGTGTGCCAGTAAGTCGTGGATGTCCTGCCTTGTAACAGGTTTGTCTGTCACAGGTTTCTCTGCACCATGTGTTGTTCGGGCTTCGTCTGTGTGTGTTTTCTCTCTTACCGCGCTGGGAGCTGTCTCAGGCTGGCGTTGCAATGGCTCCTGGGTGCGTGGAGTTGATGACAACATCTGTCCAATATCATGATTTGAGGCGGTTGCTGCCGCCGCCTGTTTCTGGGATTTGCGGCCCTTCATGGTTTCCGATGGTTCCCTGGGTGGGCTGGCTGTGAGTGGTAGCGGGTCAAAGTCGTCCCTGTCCCAGATTGTAAAGTGCGGCAACCGCAGAGTTCCCGCGCGGTAGGCCCGAGGCGTTTTGCGCCGAGTTTTGGTGCCTCCGGCGAATAAAAACGGCATCCACGGGATCGGTGTGTTCCCCTCAGCACTATTATCGCTGTTAGGGCTCTGGATGTCAGGTGGTTCATGCGTTTGGGGCTGTAGTTTGCCCCGGTAGCGGGGAGCTGGAGGAGAATGCGTCTGCTCCTGAACGCTGCCGGCTCCGCCCCCCGACATGTATATTTTAGAAGTTATAAATATTGTGTAAAAACTGTATTCCTCTGCCGGTGATAATGAGATTACCTATTGTGTTCAGTAATCATATCACAGGCAGAGGGGAGGAGTTTGTGTGGGAGTGTCTGGGTGTATTGTACGGATTGATTGGTTGTTTTGTAACGCCCTGTGGGCTGTACTATGTTTGTGGATTGGAAATAAAAGAGACTGTATGTGACAGTACAGGGAGTTCCTGTTTTAACCCTCAAAGTGAAGTGTCGTCTCATTATTGGGGGAAGGATTTATTGTATGCTGTTCCAGTTTGACTGCTTGAAGAGTAAACCTATTCGTATGGTTCCTATTCAACTGTTTACAGCATTCATATGCTTGGGAGAATTTATTTGTTTCTCCGGTTCGGTGATTGTGGTGTCTGCCAGAGTGCTTGGAGTCCTCAGGAAGCGCTAGGAGCATCCTTTAACGGAGGTACCCAGTCGGGGTGCCAGGCGATCCGTTACAATCCTCATGCGAATCTTTGTCATTTTTCTTAAATTTGCAGAATTTTCTGCGATATGCCTCTGGTGTAATGGCATCAAGCCAGCAGGACTTGTTTCACCCTAGCGTAGTTTCTCAATTCAGTATCTGGCATGGCTCGGTAGGCATCTGTAGCTCTTCCTGTTAGTTTTCCTGCTAGGAGGAGGACCCAGTCTGTGACCGCAATATCATGTAACAGGCAGAGCTGTTGAAATCCTGCAGGAATTCATCAATATCTTCTTCCATTTCAGCAAATGTTTTAAATGCCTTGTAGGGGACTTTGGGTTTGTGTTCGGGAACGACCGGCTACTTGTAGTTGGTTTGCCCAATCTCTTTTCGCCAACAGGAACGCTTGTACCTCTGAAATGGTTCGGGTCATGATCTCTTCGGATAGTTTCCCTATCCGAAGACGAATCCGCATCTCCTTTTGCAACTCTGTCTCCGGGTCCATGGGTGCAGGAGCCCCGTTGTGCACTCTGTCGTCCTCCATGAGGGCTGTGATCAAGGCTGCTTGAGATCGGTTGCTGGCTACTTGCCCACGTGCTTCCAGTAACTCCATAAGGGTTTAAATTTGTGTATTTCATGGATTGGTTCGGCTGTTAGTTCGGCTCACGAACGCTGGTTCCATTTGGCTGTGAAGAACCATCCCACCGCTGCCACCAATTGTAGCGGACCATGAAAACCCGACTGGTTACCTCTGCTATTACAACCTCCACCCCATCCCCAAAAAGAAAAAAGAAAACTTAGAAACCTCAAAACCACTTGAGTCAGTATTTCTTCCATAGCAGACATAAGTGAATGGAAGAGAAAAATCTACCTGTGCCTACAATCAAAAGTGAGAGGATATCGGATTTCCAGTGCTGAGTGATACATTGATGCAAACAGGAGAGAGAGGAGAGCTTGCCTGTTTATCCACATCCAGCATTCAGTCATTTATGCAGGGTAACAAGCACAGCTTAAATGTGTGTATGCCCCTCTCAATGCAGAGTGACAGAGAAAATTAGGTTTAGAGAGATTATAATATAATCAAAAGGTGACATGGATAGAAATGAGCTTGGAGGCATTTCAAATCTTCCTACTCAATATATAGCATATAAACAAAAGGAATTTAGAGTTATGTTCTACTTACAGATTGTAAGCTCTTTACTCACTCCAATATCCCTTTTCTATCATTGTAAAGCTGTGTGGATATTTGTTGGCGCTATGTATATGTGAATAATAATACTCACAGACAAATGCTACCACAGTGGCCCTCCACAAACAGGAAAAAATGTACGATGAAATGAACATAAGGAACGTTCTATTTTTAAGTATCACGTCACAATTATTTCACTATTCATTCCCTTTACATATGTTCATGTAGATACAGGCAGAAAAGCATGTAATCCTGCTTTTTTTTAAAAAAAAGGTGACAGAAGCATAGCTGTTTCTGGGAAAGAATGAATTAAAAGGTCTGCCTATCATAGGCTGTCATTGAAACAAACACATTAGAAATTACATTTAAAGATATCTGGATCTCATTGATATGAAGTTGTTAGGAGTGTCCCTATAAGTAGTGTGGCTAAGCAGTCTTGCACTGAATGCCTGCCAATGCAGCATGTTCTTGTTTAAAGCAATATTCTTCATTGACATCCTGGCTTGCATAGTTGGCAAGGTTTGCATATAGAGGCAGTGATATGGCTCCCAAGGTGGAGCCTTAGGGTAGGAGATCATCGACGTATGCTTTGGAGTCAAGTCCCTGGTGTTTCTATAAGATAGGAATGCCCGAGGAACGAGAATGCAGCACGCTCCCCCCCTTTACCAATTTCAGGATTCTTGCCAAAAAAAAAAAAAAATGTACGTTTCCAACTCTTCTTCTCTGCACAAACGGCTATGTGATTAGGCACATTCATAATTAGAAATTCACAGACATCTAAATTGTAAGCTTGTGGGCTGTCTTGCATTGCACTTTATTGGAGGTGCTGCAGGCATTAGATTGAGGCCCACAGGCAAGGTTTTTACGTTTCTGTCAATATGTCTAATTATATACCTTCTGTCTGTAAAACCACTGTAACGGAACCGCTGGCCCCCCCGACCGGGTACCTTCTGTTGACGGATGCTCCTAGTGCTTTCCGAGAACTCCAAGCACTCTGCCCGACACCATAACCACTGCAGACCCACAAACCGCCGCAGCTTGGTTGGGGTCTCGCTGTCTCCACCCACTCTGGACCCAAGACCAGGGTCCAGCTTCCAGTAGGTCGACCTCTCCGAATTCCAGAGAGCAGGAACAGGAACAAGATCTTAGCAGAGCTTAGTGATTATACCATGGGGAGTATAGTGATTATAGCAATCCCCAGAGTGTAGTACTACAATCCCCCAAACATGAGCCGAAACTTCATGAAGGTACAAGATGATCTCTCTTTAATTGGCACCAAAGGGTCTTATTTTATGCAGGTTTTCCTTACATAGGACCACCCACAGGGTTTTACAGAACAACCAATAACATACGTACATTACAGAAAATACTCCCAGCAATTACACACAAAATCCTCCCCCTCTGCCTGTGATATAATTATGGTACACAATTGTTAACATAATTATCACAGACAGGAAAAATACAGTTTTTAAACATACACTGTAACTTTAAAAATATACATCCAATCGTCATATTCAGAATCAGCACACTTTAAATATAAACACTCTCAAAAATCAGACAAATCCATCCAGTAGATAAAAAGTTAGACGGAAGTCCTTTATGACCGACCGCAAGCACATTTTCCTGCCCAAAACAATTCCATAGATTTGGGCTGTGCAGTCGGTCAATTTTATGCAGAAAAATGACTAAGTCCCATTCGAATGCACGAACGGGAACGTTCGTGCATTTGGCTCAGTATAACAGCAAGTTCAAACTGTCGAACGGGACTTAGTCTCTGTAGCTGAAAACGGAGTGTAGGAGAAGGTACGGGTCAGCGGTGTTCGTGAAAGTGTGTAGCCGATTTCAGTTCCATGAATTTGGCTACACATATCGCTGACCTCGTTCGAATGAACAAAGCTGGCCGCGGCCACGTGTTGGTTTGCACGAACCGCGGCCACCCAGCGGTCGGCAATTTACCTACAGCAGGCTCCCAGCCTGGAAGGTAAATTGCCTGCACACTTCCACTTCTGGGTGGTCCGCCTGTGTGGTACTTGGTTCAGTAAGCTCTATTTACTGAACCAAGTGGGAGAAAGCCATAGACAAAGTATTTTAAAGGCCTGGGGACATAGTCTTAAAGGGGCATTGTCACACAAAGTCTCAATATATCCCCAGACGGTTCTTAAAGGGCCAGCATGGTCCAATACAAGTCCATAAACCACAATGCAGTTCTTAAAGGGCCAGCAGCAGCACAATATAAATCCATTAGCCCAAATAATGTTTGTAAAGGGCCATACAACCCAGGGCCATAGTCATGCGGCAGGAAGCTGGCACTCAGGCTCCTCCAACAGCCATGGGCAAAGGGCAGCTTGTCACCTAAAAATCCAGTGACAAAAGGCATTTCGTCACAACCACCTTTGTCTTTTCTCTGGTGCTCTGAGAGCACTACTTCAAGAACTGAAATAAACAAATAACTAAAAAAAAAAAAATATTACAAATGCACAATACCGAATAAAAAATATAATCAAACACTTGCAAAGAGATACATTCACAGACAAACTACACATCAACACACACACACAAACACTAGCACACAAACATAAAAATACATACTTTTTTATTTTAAAAAGCAAGCTTCCTTCAAGGAGTTCCAAATATCAAATTGATAACTGAGAACCCATGTGTCAGCTGGGACATCGGCGCTGGGAAAAAGGGAGTATATAAAGGGTTTTCAAACCTTTATTCACGCAGGCATGGGGGGTGAGGAAGAGGGAGCTATGGTGCCAGGAATACAGCTTTGTATTCCTGGCACTATAGTATCCCTTAATGAATCTGTGCTGGCAGGTGCTCAAGGGAGCAGAATGGCCCCATACCGATTGTGATAGGTGCTTTGCCAACTGCCCAGCATCAATCACAATGTACGTAATTGGCATATTTTATTTTCAATAATACAGGGATATGTCTGTAATGCTGAAAACAGCCATTAGATGGAAGCAACTTAACCTTCTACTATTTTAACTAAGAAACGCATCTGCTGAGTACCTTAACAGTACTGATACTAGCGGAGGGTTTCCTTAGGGTTAAAGATTAGGGGTGGGGTTATGGTAGTTTTAGGGTTAGAGTTTGAGTAGGGTATGGTAAGGGCTAGTGCTGTTTTAAGGTTAGGGATAATGTAGAGGTAAGGTTAGGACACATATATGGTTGGAGTTAGTGTAAGCATAGGGTTAGGGGTAGGGTCTGCAAAGCACCAGGGGGTGTTGATAGATAGTGTTGGCTACCAAAAAATGTATTTAGATTTTAGACATATGAGGCATTTAACAATCAGGACTGATACGTGAATCATTTTGAAATCTTTTATTTAGTTGAATTGGATATATAAAATTAATATAATAAAGGGGGCGGGGTCTGACTGAGCAGAGCAGATGCTGATCACTGCAGCTCCTGCTATTTCAGGCTATAACTTGCAGTTTTTTGTTCAAAGTTCAGTTCAAAAGTGACTAATTTGGCCCATTTGGTGTGGAGTCACTACGGGAGGTTCATAATGACTCCAAACAAGCGGACGCCCCTGTGAGACTCACCCGATCGCCAACTGCGTCCTACAAGCATGGCCAGTGCAGGAGAGGCGGCGGCGGACGCACTCAACTGGATTCTTGAACCTGGGCCCTCATCCCCCCCCCCCCTTTGGACCAGTGGGGGTTATCCCGGTCCCTGGAGGAACCCCCCCAAGCAAGCTCTACCAACAGCAGCCTTCTACCATGAAAATTACAGCAGACATTTATGGGACCACTGCAGTGGCCCAACCGCGT